GCGTGTAGAGGTGCTCCGCCGTGCGCACACACGTCTCGACGGCCGGGCCAAAGAGCTGTGCGGCCTGCGGCAGCGTCGGTCCGTACGAAAAGTTGAACACAGTCACCGATCTGTCGACCGCCAAGTCGCTCGTGGTCATGGCCGTGGGCACACCGCGCGTCGCGGCCTTGGCCCAGTCGGTGCACATGCTGCCGACGTCGCTGTTGCAAATGTAGGGCAGCGGGGTTTGAGCGCCAAGCGCGTAGCCCACCTCGGTGGCGGCCGGATCGAGACGGAGTCGCGGGTCGTTCTCGAGGAGCGAGCTCGAGTAGAGCAAGCCAAAACCGATGAGGATGAGGAGACACGGGAGCAGCGTGCTGAAGATCATGACGCGCTTGTCCCGCTTCGCGACGCGGAACCGTTTTTGGAGCAGCGCGAAGAAATGCTTGACAAACATGGCCCAGCGCGAGAGCGAGTGCTTCTGGATCGAGTAGCTGCTCGTCTTGGTGGTCGGCTTCTCCTTTGGAGAGCGTGTGCTGGCCGTCGTCGTCGCCCATTTCGGCAACTTTGATGAACACCTCTTCGAGCGTCGTGACCGAAATGCCAAACGACGCGACGCGCAGCGACGATCGCGTCTCGTGCGACTCGAGCGCGCGAAACATTTCTGGAAAGACCGGCGAGCTGTCCATGGGCAGCTGAAACCCGATCTCGGACCCGACGTTGGAGAGGAGCTTCGCGGTGGGCACATGTTCTTGGATGAACGCCGTGAGCGCATGGCTCATGTCCTCGTCGCTACGCCGCGGACGAGTGAGTCGTGATTAGCACGAAATGATTGGGAGAACGCACCCATGCACCATGGGCTCCTTGACGATCGTGAGGTTGTAGCCCGCACCGAACCGGTTCTTGAGAAAGAGCGACGACCCGCAGCACTTGACTTGACCTTCGGCCATGATCGCGATGCGGTCGCCGAGGATGTCGGCTTCGTCCATAAAGTGCGTTGTTAGCACAATCACACGGTTGATGCGGTTGTTGAGGATGAGTTCCCTAAGCATTGTGTGTCGGTCCTTACTATTGTTTTCGATAGGATTGCATACCATGTGTGTGGACCGGCGCGAGTACGGGTCCATGCCGGACGTCGGTTCGTCCAGAAACACGAGGCGGCTGTCGCCCAGCAGAGCGATCGCGATCGAGAGTTTGCGCTTCATACCGCCCGAGAGCGACGTCGAAAATACGTGCTCTTTTCGGTGAGACCGACTTCCTTGATTTTTTTCTAGTTTCAGTCTATCAGGAGGCGGCTCTTCCAGAAGAGACGTACCGTCGACCGCGTCGTCGAGGTTGCGCCCTGTGTAGCCCTTGACGCTGCCGTAAAAGACCAAGTGCTCGCGGACCGTCAAATCAGGGTAGAGCACGTCGTGCTGGGGACACATGCCGAGCGACTTGCGGATTTCGCCCATTTGCGTCGTGAGGCGGTTGCCGTTGAGACGCGTCGCCCTCGGTCGTCGG